GTTAGGAACTTTATCCATCATTTTATGCTTATCGTTTTCAAACTGAATCATCCAAATTGTAAATTAATCACAAAAGAGATAAAAATTTCAAACAAAAATATTCCCAATTTTGATATGCTTAATTTTGTGCACTAGTTTTATATATGAATTCGTACTGTTATAACTGATTACCTTAGTTACAATCGTATCCTTATTATCGTAACTATACCAATTATTTCCTCTTACCAAATATGCACCCATACCTTCTCTTTCAATATGCTCTCGACTACCATCTTTCAAATACTCACATATCTGTATACAGTACTGTATTGTGAATATTCCTCAACAATAACAGTAAACTGACTTTATTAATTTTTAATAATTTTATTTTCTGAAAGTGCGCATATTCTTCATATCAATCACTTTTGTTTCATGTATTTGAAACTTAAATTTAAAAATTTGTTTGCCATAAATTCTGTTTTTTAAGATACTATAAAAATCGAAGTACAAACGCCTTATTAATTAATAAATCAACCTCAAACCTTTGTTGAAAGCCCTTTTTTACATTGAAATACGATATTTTAATAATTTAAAACATTTTCTTCAAACAACTAGATCAATACTTTATGGATTTCTTAAATTTCTACGAAAAATTTGAAAAATTTTCCTTACATTCCTTAAAGTGCCAGCAATCACAAACTTTGAATGCAAAAAAGTGGAAATTTTTGACTGCTTTTCCTGGTAAAACTCGCAATATTTTTATAATTGAAATTTGTGCATTTTTTTAAAACCATTTTTATACTCATAAATGATTTTTAGTAACTTTAAATACCTTTGTTAAGGATTATTTCAGGAGTTAGTTTACTAAAAGTGCTGAAATTAATGTAAATATTTATAAACAGTATTGAGCATTCTATTTATATTTCGAGACATTTTTACGCAATAAAAGGAACCTCCCAATAAGCAGCGGTGCCACCTTCCGGATTTGTTTTTGACGGTGCAGAAGCTCCAATTGCATCGGCTCCTATGTATGTTTGGTCCGGATATGCCAGTGTCCATCCTCGAGCATAAGTTGGAATTCCAATGATTATTTTATTTTTTGGCATGCCTTTTTGCACCCAATAATTTGCTGCATACACCTTCAGACAAAATTTGCATCAGAGATTGCAATAATTGTAGCGGTTAATTGCATGCAAAACTTGATCTCATATTTGAAGACACTAATATTATTAATAAATAAATATAAATTAATTTTTAAAAAAGTTTTTTAAAGCAATACTGAGCATTTAACTAAATTCTAGCAAGTAAATATGGATATACCATTCATATGCCTACGAATATATTTTATCATGATCTTCTAGAATCACTTTTTCTACTTTTGAGCAAAATTTTGGCTGTAATAAAAACTAACGGTGTTAAATACATCAGATCCGACAATTGAACTTTTGCTTGGATATAATTTGGCATGTAAGTCGACATTCTTCTCCCAATGACCATGTAAATCATAGGTCATCAAAAAAACTAGGTCAAGATCACTGAAAACTTTTCTTGGCAGTAAATTTTGAATTAAAATTGCTGTAAAGATTTTATGAAAGAAAAAATAATTGTAAAATAAAATGCAAAAAGTGACTACTCTTTTAATGAATTGATATCATAAGCTTGATCAATTGTATATTTCCCAGCGGATACAGCTGCTGTAAGCAAAAGTCGCTCACGAACGTGAAATTCAGCTTCACGTATGAATGCTCGCTTAATCTCCTGAATACTTTTTGTGTTTATAAATGTAATTTATGCATAACTTTTGCATTTAATTAATTCTCAAACTTACCTTAATGAAATTAGCGTGATCTTTTGCAACGCCAACCGGATATTCCCAGTCTAAATCTAATCCATCAAATTTATGCTTTCGAAGGAAATATATGGCAGTTTGAATAAAGTGCCTGCGTTTTGCTGGTGATTTTGCAATTTGCTTCAAATATTTTGCATCATTAAATAATTCGTACATTTAAGATTATGAATGGATGCAAAATGAGGTGGATCACATTTAGAATCAGAAAATTTAGAGAAAAATGCAATTGTAAATAATGATTTTGTATTAAAAACAAATTTGTCACTGTTATCAGAAATTGAGCTCTGTAGAAGAATATGTATATTTAAAATTATAAAAGTAAAAGTTGAATACAATTATTCAATATAACAGCACTTATGGAATGTGGATTTGGTAAACAGTAAAGATTAAATTAAAAATAACTTTTAGTAGCACAAAAATATTTATTTGATCAATTTTGTTTGTGCAAAAAAAAAACGACAGAAAGTAAAACAAACTGTGAAAATTGATGAACCAAAATTATAACCACCGTAAGAAAGAAGAACTTTGATTTCAGGGCTACTTTCTTTAATATCCAAAACTCTAGAATACATTCCACGTGACCAGTTTGAATCTTCATCATTCCACTCATATGGTCTGAAAATATTCCCTCAAATATATTTTCAAATATATTTCGTTTCTTAAAATATACCACTGAGAACAAACAAAAATAAATTATTTAAAATTTATTTTACAGAAAAGGAAACCTTTCTTTAAATTATATTTTAAAATGCTATATTTGAGCATTTTAAAATATAATTTAGAGAAACTGTCATATTCTAATATAATTTATAATATAATCTTAGCAAATTTTTACAGTTTTGAATTTTATTTGCAAGAATTAAAACTTTTCGCTTTACTAATTTATATAACTTATACATATTTCCCTTCAAATCTTGTTCATGCGTTATCTATAAATCATATTTTACTGTATAATGTTCTTCTATACTATACCATATTATGTTATATTGTTACTATATTATTTTACAATATATCACACCACATAATATACATTTGTTCATAATATATTGTATTACATTACAGTATGTTTTACTACGTCATATCATACTCTACTGTACGATCTGATATTACAATATACTGCATTATATCATACCGTATTATTATATGATATTATATTGTAATTGCTATTTTATAGTAAACTGTACTGTACAATATTTTGTCTTCCAGATTACGTTTAATAATGCATAAGTTTCAAACTTACAGTGATGTTCCATCTGAGTTCACTTTAGCAAATGCATAGAGAATGTGAGTGCAAAGGTCTTTGGGAATATCTTCAGGTATGAATTTTCCTTCTCTTTCTAAATGTTACTTATAAATAATTTGTTATTAGATTTTTGATCCATCAGAATATTTTTGCTAAAATTACTTATCTATCCACTTTTGCTCCACCAAATTTCCCCTTTCTCAGAAATCTGTTTCGTAGCTAAGCCACAAATTTTTTGAAATGAAAGTCATAGCAAATTATGCTTT